GTCACGTGACGGCGGGACGATTCCGTCACGTGACGCGGCCTAACCGCCTGGAGACGGCGGCCGGCGCTTGCGCCGGCCGGCTGTTGATGACGCTGCGCCTACGCAGGTGCGTGTTCTGGCTGCCGAAGTCGTGAGCAGAGGTCGGAGTTCGTCGGTGTACTACGCCTGGCCGATGGACCGAATATCGGTGTTTCCCCGACTACAGCTCCTTCTCTTCCGTGTGCAGGCAGGGCGGCTAGGGACTCTGGTATTGGCCCAGTATCCCTGGTGTGATGCCGATCAGAAGTGCAGGAAGCAGGCTTCCCACGACGCCCGGGACCCCCGGTAGCATCTGCTGCTGCTGCTGCTCAGGGCTGGGCGGCGGCCCTCACGATAGTCAATCCTCGACGCACTCGTCCTCCCAGTTCCTGTTCCCTCCCCTCAGCGGATAAACAAACACCAGCGCGTGACTCCATAGACTCAAAAACAGCTTCAGCTACTCAGAAAAGTTTTTTTCCCAGCTTTCTGTAAATCTTTTTCCTGCCTCCATGCACTGAAATTCGTTCTCCTTAAGCATGAGATTGGGAGTGGGACGGGACGTGCAAGTTTAAAAATAAAGCCTTGTTTAGGTGCTGTTTACTGTCGGGGACATGTTAATATCAGTACTGAGATTTCCAACGTACCAGGCACTTTATATTTCCTTCAGATCATTTAATTCTTTAAACAATCCTACAAAATAGGTAATAAATTTGCTAAAATTTCCAGCTACGTGTATACTGAAGGGTATACAGCGGAAAGTAAGTTTCCCTCCCACCTTGTCCACAGTTCACCCACTGTTTGAAGTTTGTTGTGGTATCTTTTCTGATGTTTTTTATGTATGTTGCCGTGTGTGTAGCTCCCGTTTTAAACAATTTGGGAGCAACTCGCTGTTAGTGTCTTGCTTCATTCACATTAGCATTACATTGGTACCAAATGGTCTGTCTCTTCTGTCTTCAGTGCGGCACAGTCCCCTAGGAATTGTCCCCATTTCTCAGACGAGGGCACGCTGGGGCTTGGCTTTGTAGCTTGCTCAAGATCCCAGAGAACCCAGGAATTCGAAGCCGGCGATCGGAACGGGCGGCGCGGCAGATTGTGCGGCAGGAGGTCCCGGGCGCAGACTCACCGGCGACTCTCCCGCGGCCTGTAAACGCTGGACGGACACGCTGCGCGGCACACGCGGGAGCCCGCGCTTCGCAGCCGGGTCTTCTCCACTCCACGAGATATGCGCCGAGCCAAGCTCCCGCCCCCGGGGCCCCGCGCCCCGCCCGGGGCGGAACAGGAAGAGGCGCCCGCCCGCCCGAGCCCCGCCTGCTGCCAGCGCAAGAGGAGGGGGCTGCCCGGGCGAGCGCGTTGGCCCGCACCAGGGAGGCAGGCGGACTGGTGGACTTCGAGCAGGGGCGGTTCCCGGCCCCTTACGACTAGTCCTCTTGCCTTCCTCCTTCGCAGGACGACGGCATTCGGCGCGATGGACCTGGCGGGGCTCCTACTGGATGAAGAAGGCACCTTCTCTCTCTCCGGCTTCCAGGACTTCACGGTGAGCGCGCGGCCGGCCTCTTCCCCGGCCTCCTGGCGCTCGGAGCCGGGACCCAGGCGCTCCCCCTTCGGGCCGGAGCAGAGCCGCGAGTTCGCCTGACTCTCGTGTTCCGGAGCCGGTGGCAGCCGCTCTGACTGTGCCTACTCGAGGCCCTGGCTTTTGGGCCCTGAGGGAGAATCGCGGCGGTAGGGATGGGGGTGGGGTGACCAGACCGGGGAGCCCTGGTTGGAGACATTCCCCCGCTCTGGACCAGGCTGACATTGGCAAACAATCCAAGAATTCGGGGCCGGGTGGGGCGGGGCCCCATTGGCAATACGGCAGGCCTCCGGCCCCGCTCCCCCCTTTCTAGTCCAGAGCCAGGCTCTCCATCATACCGTTCCCTGCAGTTCATCCTCCACCACCTTCCTGCTCTGTTTCAGTTCCTCCCGGGACACCAGAAGCTGAGCGCGCGGCTCCGAAAGAGACTCTACTATGGCTGGGACTGGGAGGCCGACTGTAGCCTAGAGGAGCTCTCCAGCCCTGTGGCAGGTTAGCCGGTGGGGTGTGTCCGGGCATGTGAGAAGCATGAAAATGGGGTTGTCAGCAGTCGCCAAAATGACTGTAGGTTTACTCGGCGAATTGCACTGTCTCTTCCCAACCATCTCGTTTGGTACTCGGTTCAAGAACGTGGTTTGTTTCATATTCTTTTAGTCTAAATGAATAAAAAAAAAATTGGTATCTCACAAATTGTTGTCACTCTTGGTATTTGTATACTAGAAACTTTAAATTTTAATTGAAATTTGAATTTTTCAAGTAATCCATCATTTATCTCCAAAATAAACAAGGTACCTTTATTCTGGGTAATTTCAGGTGGATGGGAAATAAGCCTTCCTGCTGGAAGGAGCTGAAATCCAAACTTGAAATGGACTTTTTGTCTCAGCGTGGGAGAATTTGGTCTCTATTTTGTTACTACAGTCCTGTTCTCAAGGGCTCAGCTAATACGTATCTGGGTCTTATGCTGCTACCAGTGGGGGTTGGTGTGTGTGTGTTGGGGAGGGGTTGTTTATCCTGCTTTCCTTCTGTGTCTTGCAGACATTGCTGTGGAACTGCTACAGAAGGCAGCCCCCAGCCCTATTCACCGACTTCAGAAGAAATACGTAGCTCATGTGTCGCGGTGAGCCTGGAATTGAGAGGGACAGTATGAGATTATTTGGGTCCTAGAGAGAGAACAATGGTTATCTCTAAAAAGAAAATATAAAAATTCAGGGCTGAGTATCATAAGAGTTACAGGAGCTGAGAGCCGCTTGGGTTTAATTACTGATTCTTTCTACCACCCAGGGAGGCATGCATCTCCCCTTGTGCAATGATGCTAGCTCTGGTGTACATTGAGCGGCTCCGGCATCGAAACCCAGACTATCTACAGCATGTGTCATCCTCTGACTTGTTCCTGATCTCCATGGTAAGGCGCCCCCTTCCTTTCATCTCTCTGGTGTTCCAGGAGCTGGGTGTGAACATTACTGACGACACCTCTGCTTTCTCTGTAGATGGTGGCCAGTAAGTACCTCTATGATGAAGGGGAGGAGGAGGAGGTCTTTAATGACGAGTGGGGAGCTGCTGGGGGTGTGGCTGTGCCCACTCTCAATGCCCTGGAGAGGGGTTTCCTGAGTGCCATGGTGAGTAGCTGCTCTCTCTCTCTTGCTCTGTTTCCCTGGCCCATCTTTACATTCCCTTCACTCTTTGTTTTTTCTGTCTCAGTCTGCTGTTGTTCCCTCATTTCTCTTTGTACATGTCCGCATTCTATCTTCCCTTCCCAGCCCTTGTTGATTAACCACAGCCTTTGGAGGTTCCTGGAGTGGTGAAGGCAGGAGTGGAGTGTTTCCGGTGTCCCTCCATGGCCCCACAATACTTGTACACTCTGAGTCAGAGCTTGTCTTAGGGTTTCTTTTTATTTCCTTCTCTACTTTCTCTGTGCTTTTTTCTATGACTTTAAGCTCTCTGTGGGCACAGATCCTGCTCAGGGTAATCTTGTTCTTTTGCCCTTAATGGAGCGTATGATATGAAACCAGATAGGTGGTGATTAAACGAGTGAGTGCATAAAAGCGTTTGGAACCAAGTCTGGCACACAGTAAGTGCCAACTAAGTGGTAGTCATAGTGGTGGTTGTAGTTGTTGTTGCTGTTCTTATTATCACGTGACTGGTTCATATCCAACTCCTACATGTCCAACCTTCAGGACTGGCATCTCTACACTGACCCTCGGGAGATCTTTGAGGTGCTGAGCTGGCTGGAGAGCTGGTAGGTTCTAGGAGTTGGGAACAGGGGCTTGAGGGATTTGTGGGCTGAGGCCTAAGCCGTAGGAGCTAGAGAAGAGGATCCGTGTAACTGGGGGGGAGGGAGGAGACAAGGAAAGGAATTGCTCAAGGTAGTGGTTCCCCAACTTGTGTGTCCTCTTTATAATCACCTTTGGGAGGGTGGAGGCAGGAGAAGCTCATTTAAAATACAGATTTTTGGTGCCTAACCCTCAGTTTCTGGTTCGGCAGATAGCCTAGAAGTCTAACAAGCCCCTCCCCGGTATTTTTGGGTGGAGGGCCTATGAAGGTTTCGCAGGGTATGAGGGTGCAGGAGAGTTGTGGATTGTCTCTCTTTTCTCCACTTCCACCAGTGTGGCTGAGCAGCAGGGGCGGCGGCGGGGCTGGTACACCTACACAGACCTGTGTGTTCTGCTGGAGCAGCCAGCCTGGCAGCTGGCCCTGGGCTCCCTCTGTCAGCAGCTGGCAAAGGTGAGGAGTGATGGGGCTTGACAGGGCTGGTATGTAGGGTGGGATGACATAAAGCTAGTAGGTGGGACTTAGGAGTAGTCAGGTAAGGTGGGGTGTAAATGGCTACAGAGAGCTTTAACTTGGAGACAAGTTTCTGGAGACAAGGGGTGGGTGTGTTACAGACCTTAGAAGCATGTTTTAGGGGAAGATGCCCCCAAGAATGTGTGCACTGACCTTTCTTACCCTCTCTGCTGCAGCTATCCTGCTTGTTAGCCATGGCATATGTGAGCAGTGTGGCCCTGGCTGTGGCATCAGTGGCTGTGATCCACCAGTCCTTGGGGCTGTCTTGCAGCCCTCCACCTGGTCCCCCTGACCTTAGACTGGCCTCCAGGTGCCTCTTGGAGTCCTGCATACCTTCTCCTGTGCCACAGTGCCTGCCGTCTCCTGCTAACATCTCCAGCTGCCTGGAAGGGGACATAGGGCTGCGTTCGCTCTGGGGAAGTCTTCTGGCCTCCCTGACTGCCCCACCATTGCCTTCCCCAGACCCTCCTGCCCTTCCCACTCTTCTCCACAAATGCCCCCTTTGCCAGAAGCTTCAGAGAGACTCCCCAACCTGCCGTGCCTGCCACCACACCAACCATACGGTCTCTACTGGGCCTCCCAGCACCTGGTACCACACCCATGGCCTGGCTCCCCCCTGGTCTTGGAGCCTGATGCCCCCTCTACTCCCCCAGCCCCAGCAATGTTCCCTTTTCAGTGTCATGGAGCTGGCCCGCCTCAAGTCTTTCATTTTCCCAGGCTAGGGAAGGCTCTGAGGAATGCATTAAGAGGACTTGGGAGTCCTTGAGAACCTGGAGGAGCCGAGCTTGGTTTAGATCCTGTCTACCTCTCTGGGTCCTTGGCTGGTCCCCTGTTCTCCAGTGCTGGACTGAAGGGGTTGTGGGGCAGACAACAGAAGGCCACTCACTCTCCCAGACCTCAGTGGCTGGCTGCTTGCCTGGGGCAGTGATACTGCCTGGGAAAGGTTCAGCTCACTGACTGGGCTGTGTCACAGATCAACAGAAGAGAAGCCCCTGACTCTCCACCTCCCTGGGGCTCTTCTAGACTTGTTTTTGGGTTCTCTAGGGTGGGAGGGTGGGAGATGGGGTAGGTGGGGTGAGGGAAGGAGGAACAGGTTAACCTAGGTCTGTGTGATGTCTCTGCGGCATGATAGCCAGGGACTAATAGGGCCGAGGTGGGTGCTGTTGAGGGAAGGCTGGGTGATGTGGGAAATCCTCTACACGCCCGTCTCTTAGGTGCAGTCTAATGGAGTCAGGGAATGGGACCTTCAACCTTGACCTTTTGTCTTCCACCTTCTCTTACTGCCCTGCTCCTACGCTTCCCTCTTCTGGTTCTTCTTCTGGTGTTCTCTTCACAGGCCTCTCTGGCCACTGCTTTGTATCTGGGTTTTTCACGCTTTTGTAGAACTGAGGTTTCAATAAACAGTTTCAATTGCATGGCCTGGACTCTTCCTTCTAGGGCAGCCCTTGAAGGTCTTTCCTCTCAGGATCTGCCTTCTAAGCCTCCTTACTTCCTGATCCCGTCACACAAATTGTTTTCTCTGAGCCCCTTTTCGGAACTTCCCTATTGTTAGTTGCAGGGTCCTATGCCAAACACCCCCGTCCCTGCTCCCAGCACCCTGGGACCCCAGCACCGCTCAACTTCAAGTGCCGTGGTTACAGATGGTGATCGTATCATGCCTGGGGTTGGCCCTGTCTGTCGCATGTTCTTGTGGATCCTGAAGCACATCTGGAGAGGGGCCATCAGAACCCTGAAAGTTCCTTGAGGGCAGTCCCCAAGGCACACTTCTCTCTACCCTGAGTTCCTCACTGTCATGATGTGTCGTAGTAGTCCGCAATGTTATAAGAACTCCAAGGCTGAGTTATCGCTGGAAGAAGGAAAAGTTGTTCCTGGCCGTTGGACCGAAGAGTATTTGGAACTGCTAAAGTTGGAGCCCTGGTGGTGCAGTATTTAAGAGCTGTGGCAGCTAACCAAAGGGTCAGCAGTTTGAATCTACCAGCCGCTTCTTGGACACCCTACGAGGGAGTACTACTCTGTCCTACAGGGGCACTGAGTCGAAATTGGCTCAGGCTTAAGATAATCGACGGCAGGAGTGGTACTGCCCCCTAGGGGGCATTTTGGAAATTGATGGAGTATCATTTTGGTTGCCACAAGGATTTGAGGGGATGCTACTGGCATTTAGTCAGCCTGGGCAGGGTGCTAAACCAAAAGACAAACCCACTGTCGTTGGGTGCTAGATATCCTGAAATGCTCAGGAATCTCCCTCGAGAGGTCCTTCCCTCAGTATAAGGAATTCCCAAGACAACTTTTGAATGACCTGCTGGACATCATGTGTATGAAAAACTTGTTTATATTTATCTGAACCTAGAACTGTCTTCCTTTGTATGTGTAAACAAGAAAAAGCTTTTTGCACGTTTTGAAAAAGACTTAGTTTTCCAGAAATGCACCTCCATGTAAATTAAGAGAAAATGGTACTCTGTTTTTTCAGCACTTTACCAAGGATTTGTTTATCATTTTAGAAAATCAGGTTATCAATGGCTGCACTGCTTGTGGTTTCTGAGTCACCAATAAAACACAAGTATCAATTGGCATTTGTAGTTATCAAATTCATAGTGGTTCTGCATATGACTGGGGATTGAACTACCTCGTCTTCTGGTTTAGTTGTGCCTAAGCTTTTACATATTGAAATATATTTTTTTATAAATTACTTTTTATTTCTCCATTATATGAGGATATTATATGGAGTGGTGGTCATTGTCAGCCTGTGTGATATAAGGTATATTATTCTTGAATTTCATTTTGAGCTGGTCAAGGGGGTTTGGTCCTGAAAAGGGTGAGAACCACAGATGCAGCAGTGATGGCTCTAAATGGTGCTGAGTGGAGAATACAGTCTACGAAATCTCCCCAGTTTATTTTGGTAGGTCTCCTCACCCTCCTATCCTACTTTCCAGAGCCTGGTCTAGTAGTAGGGGATCTGGATGGAGATTCTTGGGGGAGGGGTCCAGAACTTGGCTCCCCGGTTAATGGGTGATGGAAGTTGCACAAGAGCTGGGCAAAGGTAAAAGGGCCGCCTCCTGCTCCAAATCCCTCATCCCTTTGTTCTGCTTCATTGACAGTCCCACCCCCTCCCCACCTCAGGCAGCTAACTCCACCCAAACTCTGACCTCTTACTGTCTACTTAACTCTGGCCCAGGGAAGCCAAGATAAGACAGAGGCCGGGCAGCATGAGCCGATCACCCCCACATCCCAGCCAACTTCAGTCTGTGGGCTCCCAGGATGCCTTGGCTCTCCAGCCATCACTACCTGTTCCCCAGATTCCCTCGACCCCCTCTTGGGTCTTTCTGGGTGGGCCTCCTCCCTGGGGCCTCAGCTGTCTTCTGGCTCTGCAGGTAGGAGGCAGAGGTGCAGGGGTTGGTATTGGCTGGAGGGTGTTGGGTGGGTGGGGTAGATGTGGCATGAGAGACCCTTGGGAAATCGATATTTCCTGGGAGAGGTGTGTGCCTGAGGACCACCCCACCCCGTTCCTCCCCCTGCAGCATATCATTGTCCTGGCTTCTCTGCTCTGTGTCTCCCACCTGCTCCTGCTCCGCAGTCTCCCCCCAGGAGGACTCTCTTACTCCTATGCCCAGCTCCTGGCCTCCAGCCTCTTTTCGAGTGGTGTGTCCACTGCCTTACAAACCTGGATGGGCAGCAGGTGAAGGAACCTCACTGGAGAGAGGGGGGTTGGGGTCCTGAAGGGTAGAAGAGACTGGGGGGAGTCCTGTTGGCTTCCACATGTGTCCAGAGCTGCCTAGGCTGCTGTTCCTACAGGCTGCCTCTCGTTCAGGCCCCATCCTTGGAGTTCCTTATCCCGGCTCTGGTGCTGACCAGCCAGAAGCTGCCTATGGCCACCCAGACACCTGGCAACTGTGAGCACAGAGCAAGGGCAGGGGGTGAGGGTGGGCTGGGTGCTATTCTGAATATACAGGTGAGGTGGGAGTAGGATTGAGATTGGGCAATGGTGGGACTTACAGGCACTGTAGGGGCCTTGGAGCTGGGCCAGGCACCAGCTAGGAGTGTGGAGCTGTGGGGGTCTATCTTACCCACCTTTCTCCTCTCTGCGCCCTAAACCTTTCCTAGCCTCCCTCATGCTGCGCCTGTGTGGGGGGCCTGGCTGCCATGGCCTGGAACCCGGGAACACTTCTCTCCGAGAGGTGAGTTCCTGGGGAGAAGAGCTAAGGTGGGGGATTGGGAGGCTCCCGTTTCCATTATGCAGGGACTAAGATGCTCTGGGGGAAGGGGTTGGGGGAAGGACCTGTCCCTGGAATTAGTTAGGAGGTCTAGGGCTGAAATCAACCTGATTGAGCAGAGTGTCCTCTCCTATACTCTGCAGGTGTCCGGAGCAGTGGTGGTATCCGGGCTGCTGCAGGGCACACTGGGGCTGTTGGGGGTCCCTGGCCGCTTGTTCCCCCACTGTGGGCCCCTGGTTCTGGCCCCCGGCCTAGTTGTGGCAGGGCTGTCTGCCCACAGGGAGGTGGCCCTGTTCTGCTCCATTCACTGGGGCCTGGCCTTGCTGTACGTGAGTCCTGAGAGGTGTGGGATGGTGACCAGTGGTGGTGTGTGGGACTGGGGAAGGCAGAGCTGCTGGCCCTATCAGATTCAGCAGCCATTTGAGCAGACAACACTTTTTTAGATTTTCAATCGAAGAGTTTCCCTGGGTTCATCTGGTCTGACTTTCATGCTGTTTCCTGCTGTCCCCCAAGGTGCCCCTCCTACCCCTTCGATGAGGGTTTTCTTCTCTGAGACCCCCTTTTATTGTATTCTACCCACTCCACGTTCACTAACACCCCTCAGGGTGCTGCTTCATCTTGCTCCTAAAGCTCCTTCTCTGTCCTAGGCTTATCCTGCTCATGGTGGTCTGTTCTCAGCACCTGGGCTCCTGCCAGTTACCACCATGCCCTTGGAGGCTAGCTTCAGCCTCTCCAACTTGTGCTCACATCCCTGCTTTCCGGCTTCTCTCGGTATGTGGGGGCCTGGGCAGAGGCAATCGAGGTTAAGAGGGCTGGCATGGAAGGCCCCCTTGGCCCCCTACCTTTTGGCTTCTGTCTATCCCTCCAAGGCTGGCTCGGAAGGTTCTGGGGGACAAATTCTATTCTTTCCCTTTTTCGCCCCTCAGGTGCTGCTCCCTGTGGCCTGTGTGTGGATCATCTCTGCCCTTCTGGGTCTCAGCACTATCCCCCTGGAGCTGTCTGCCCCCATCGAGGCACCATGGTTTTGGCTACCTCACCCAGGTGGGTTTTCTAGTCCTCTGTCCTATTACTCACCTAATGGTGTTTATTTGAATTCAAGATTTAATGGATTTCTTTTCTGAGTTAAATCCTGTGTCTTCTCAAAACATATATGAAGGGAACACTGAGCTTCTGATAAGGGTGATGGTATAATTTGGGAACAGGTAAGGGTGATGGTTGAATAACATGATGAACATAATTAATGTCACTGAACTGTATATGTGAAAATTGTTGAAATGTGTATTTATTACAATAAAAAATATATAGAAGAGGGGCATTGCAAGTCTGAGGGTTAATTCCACCCCCTCACTCCAGGTGTTTTACTTGAGTCAGCATTTTAAAAAATCTATAGTTTTCACAGTCCCCCACTTCCTATTGATATTTCTTACCCAATTTACACATTTATGTTACCTACTCCTATAGACATTTGACTTGGTGACCTATAGATAAAGTTTACTTTTGAGGCATTGTACATGAAATTTGTTCATTCATTATTAATAAAGGTCTGTTGAGTGCTGACTATGTACCAGGCATGTGATAGGGGACACAATGATGATACTGTACCTGCCCTCATGGAGCTTACAGTCCACTGGGGAATACACATACTAATTAGATAGTCACCCAAGTAAGTGTAAAATTGCAGTTGTGGTAAGTGTAACAAAGGGATGGTACATTTGTGTCATGAGAGCTTGCTTATGTTGGAGGAATTTGACTTCATCAGGGAGGTCAGGAAGGGTATTCTTAAGGAGTTATCATTGAGATGAAATGTGAGAGATGAGTAGGGGATAAATAGATGAAGGCAGGAGAGAAGAGCATTTTAGGCAGCAAGAACAGCACATGCAAACGCCCTGTGGTGGCAGGGAGCACAGCAAGTACAAGAGCCTGAAACAAGGCCAGTACGTCTGGAGTGAAGGAAATGAGGTGGAATGTGGCGGGAGATGAGACTGGAGAGAGAGGTAAGGGTCAGACCAAAGCAGATCTTGTAGACCAAGGAGTTGAACCTTTATCCTTAGAGTTCAGTTGTTTTGTCCTAAGGCATTGTCTTCAAAGACAATGGGGCATCTAGGATTCTCGTGGCAAGGTAGTTGGCAGCAGGGGGATGCTTCAGACTTGAGTTTGGCCCTGAAGCAGTACTTTCTTCCTTCTCAGGTGAGTGGGACTGGCCCTTGCTGACGCCCAGGGCTCTGGCTGCGGGCATCTCCATGGCCCTGGCAGCCTCCACCAGCTCCCTGGGCTGCTATGCTCTGTGTGGCCAGCTCCTGCATCTGCCTTCACCACCTCCACATGCCTGCAGTCGAGGGCTGAGCCTGGAGGGTCTGGGCAGTGTGCTGGCCGGGCTACTGGGGAGTCCCATGGGCACTGCATCCAGCTTCCCCAATGTGGGCACACTGAGTCTTACCCAGGTATGGTCCTTGGACCCAGGATGGGGGTGGGGGGTGGAGGTGCAGGAGAGGGAAGGGAACTCACACTGATAGCCAGCTGTGCCCACCGCTCTGTTAGGCACTTCATAATAGTTTTCTCACTTAGAGAGGTGCCTAGGAGTGGTATACAGGGCTGGGAGTGTTGGGAAGACACGAAACCATTACTGAACTCCTTCTATGCATCAGACACTGTGCCAGGGCTAGGGTTCCAGAGAAGAACAGTCAGACAAAGTCCCTGCCCTCTTGGAGGACTTCACAGAAGGAGAGGCAGACAATTAAAAAATTCTGGAGAGTAGTAAGTGCTATTAAGACAACAAAGCAGGGTAAGTGGGATAGTGGATGAGTAAAGGAGGCACCTTTAGATGTAGTGGTCAGGAGTGCTTCTTGAAGGAGATAACATTTAAGTTGGGATCCAAATGATGAGAATGAGCTGGTCAGGTGAAGATCTAGGAAGAATCTGAGGAGGTAGCTGTGTTTTCTCGTGTTTTTTCTTCACTAGGCTGGATCCCGGCGAGTAGCGCACTTGGTAGGACTGCTCTGTGTGGGGCTCGGGCTCTCCCCCAGGCTGGCCCAGCTCCTCACCACCATCCCATTGCCTGTACTTGGTGAGTGGATGTATCAGCAGGGCTGGTATGGAGCCCGTACTCACCAGTATGAACCAACCAGTTGTTTATGGCTGGCACCCTTGCTTTCTGAGTATCCTCCCTGGATAATTGATATGCGTATGTGTCAGCTGCCTTCATTTTCTCGGCCCAGCATCTTGGCCTCTTGACTGGGCTTCTGGGCTTCTTGCGGAATCAGAAACAAGCCTTTTGGTTGTCTCTCCCCTCTCCCCACACTTGCCCAGCTCTGTACTACCCCTTGCTGTGCCAGCCCTCTCCCAACCCCCTGGATTTCTTCCATACAATACAGGTGGGGTTCTGGGTGTGACCCAGGCTGTGGTTCTGTCTACTGGATTCTCCAGCTTCCACCTGGCTGACATTGACTCTGGGCGGAATGTCTTCATAGTCGGCTTCTCTATCTTCATAGCCCTGCTGCTGCCAAGATGGCTTCGGGAAGCCCCAGTCCTTCTCATCACAGGTGGGAGGAGTGGGGAGGGGAAGAGTTGTTCGGGAGTGGGAAAGCAAGGGCCTGAGGCTTCAGGTTCTGTGGACTCCTGGCCCCACACCCTCCTCTGGGCTTTGGTATAAACAGTTTATCCATTTGTTTAACAAACATTTATTGAGCACCATGTTAGCCTTGGTGGCGCAGTGGTTAAGTGCTCGGCTGCTAACCGAAAGGTTGGTGGTTCAAACCCACCAGCCGCTCAACGGGAGATAGATGTGGCAGGCTGCTTCCGAAAAGATTTATAGCCTTGGAAACCCTATAGAGCAGTTCCACTCTATCCTATAGGGTTGTTATGAATAGGAATCAACTCAACGGCAATAGGTTTGTTTTTTTTTTGGTTTATGTTAGCCCCTTGGGATACAAAGATGCTGCAGGCGTTACAGTCTAGTAAAAAAGATGAGATGTGTAAGAAAAGAACAAGAAAGATTCAGATAAAGAGTTGTGGTGCTCAATGGTGAGAGAGATGGTTTCTGTTTGAGAGGATCCAGGTAGGTTTCATGGAGAAAGTAACTTTTCTCTGGTCTTGAAGTGGGAACAAGATCATCCTGACGGAGGAACCATCATAAACAAAGCCATAGAAGTAGGCAGTCATAGGGCATGTCCTGGGTACAGCAAATGGCTTGGTTTGTCGAGAGCAATGGTTCTCAACTGGGGGTGATTTTCCCTCCTAGGGGACATTTGGCAATGTCTGGAGACATTTTTAACCACCATAAACAGGGCCAGGATGGGTGGGTGTTACTGGCATCTAGTGGGTAAAGTCCAGGGATGCTGCTAAACATCCTTCTACGCACAGAAGAGACAACAAAGAATTACCCATTGCCATCGATTCTGACTCGTAGAGACCCTATAGAACAGAGTAGAACTGCCCCATAGGGTTTCCAATGCCGTAAATCTTTATGGAAGCAGACTGCCACATCTTTCTCCTGTGGAGTGGCTGGTGGGTTCGAACTACCAACCTTGCGGTTAGCAGCTGAGTGCTTTAATCACTGTTCTACCAGGGATCTTCAACAAAGAATTACCCAGTCCAAAATGTTAGTAGTATTAGAGGTTGAGAAACCCAGGCTAGAACACAGAAGGTAAGAAATGGGAGATAAGATTGGGGCTTTTAATATCAAACTTTACAGAGAAAGGGAGCCTGGTGCTCAAAGCATGTCTGGAGGGCATGTGGATGCTCAGAAGACAGGGTGTTCAGCAGGGATCTTGTGTGGAGGGTGTGGGTGTGGGAAGTGGAGAGTAGAGGGACAAATGGGGGCAGGGGAAGATAGAATGACAATTCAGAAAGAACTGTCCTTAGTTCAAGACTTAGGTTTAGGCCTGGAAGGATAAGACTCTCTAGCCTTGGATAGGATCAGAGTTCCTGTCTGGCCCCTGTAGGCTGGAGCTCGTTGGATGTGTTCCTGCGTTCACTGCTGACGGAGCCCATCTTCCTGGCTGGACTCTTGGGCTTCTTCCTAGAGAACACCATTTCTGGTAAGTTGATGCCAGGCCATAGAGATTAGGGAGTGGCCAGGAAGTCATCACTCCTTAGTTTGGACAATGGCCTGACCAACCTCTATTTTGCAGGCACACAGCTTGAGAGAGGCCTGCGTCAAGAACTTCCATCTCCTTTTGCTGCCCAAGAGACTTGGATGCCTCAGATGTCCAGAGAGAAGGCTGTCCAAGAGTATGGGCTTCCTCTCTCCATTCAAAACCTATGTTCCTGCATCCCCCAGCCCCTCCATTGCCTCTGCCCACTGCCTGAAGACCTTGGGGATGAGGAAGGAGAGCCTTCTGAGCCAGGAGAGACAGCAGACTTGCTGCCTGGCTTTGGGGAGCCATGCCCTGGGCCTACCAGAGAAGGATTTAGTTCCCAGTAATCCCAGGATGCCTACTTCTGTCTGGTTAGTTCAACTTGCTGGGGAGTCAGTTCCCAGGCTCTACTTTCTCCTAGTGAGAGGGTATGTGTGTGTGTGTCTAACCTGGGCCCATCTAAAGTTCCTATTTCCCACTAGGTGTGTGCCTTTCTTTCTATTAATTAGGCCTAACTGTTCCACATCTTTCTCCCTCGGAGCAGTTGTGGGTTCCAAACACCAACCTTTCAGTGGTTTAGTGGGTCATGAATGAATAAGATTTTGCCTGTGTACCATGAATGCCACTTAAACCCCAGCATTCACTTAACCAATATTTACTGAGTGCCTTCCATGTGCAAGATTCTGGAACTACAGATATAAACAATACAGGGTCTCTACCCCCTCAAAGGCACTTACGGACCTACGTGATTAACTAAAATGCAAAGCAGAAGGCAATCAGTCTGTAATTAAGATTAAAATAATGCTCTCGGAGCAAAGGGGAGGGAACAATTAATTCTGATTGGTGACGGGGAGGTGGGAAAGGCTTTATACAAGAAGGGGCCCTGAGGCTGGCCTTGACAAGGGAGGCGGGGAATGGATGGGGAGAATTTTTCAGGCTCAGGGATCAGCTTGAACAAAACCATGAGTTGTACAAGTACTAGGTGAGTTGAGAGGTTTCAAGTTTCTTGGGGGTGACGTAGCATAAGTATGCAGATGAATGGAGAAATGAGGCAGGAGAGGCAAAGGGTGAGGTCAGACAGTGGGACTTACGCTTAGGAGACACGTCTCTTAAACCAGTCCAGTGCTGGTGAGGACCTTAGATTTAGTGACGTTCAATCCCCTCATTTCATAGACGGGAAGGGACTTGTTTGTTGACAAATCCAAACCTGAGACCCTCTATCCTACACTTCATTCGGTATTCTTTCTTCTTCGCTAACGGGACTCAAGGAGTGCCACTACCTCCTCTCTACTAGTGAGTGGGCTGCCCACCCTCTCCTTATTTTCCAGGCCCGAGTAGCCCACCAGCTCTGCGCTTTCCCTTCATCAGCTCGGTAGGCCCAGAGGCCCCGCCCACATCAGGCCTGGGCTCCGCCCCGTGGCCCAAGGCTCCGCCTCCGCGCGGGGGGAGGGGAGGCTACCTCTATTCTAGGCCTTTCGGTTTGCACCGGCGGCTGCTGCGGGGAGGGTGGGAGCTCTCGCAGACGCTCACGGTAGGTGGGATCGGGCCGAGTCACGGCCGGGACCGGGGCCTCGGCCGGGCGGCAAGGGGCTGCTCAAGCCCTGTGGGCTGGGCCGGCACAGGCGCTCTCTCCCAGAAGGGACCGCGCGCGGCCGGGGTGCTGAGAGAGGCCTCAGGGAGTGGGCGGGGCTGCGCGTGGCGCGCGCGCGCAGTCTGCCTCTCGGCTGCCAGGAGGGGTTTGTGAGGCTTATGTGAGTGTATTCCTCGGCGGGTTGCTGCTTGGTGTGACGAAGCTGTGGGTTGTCGGCTTTGTTACCTTTTGAGGTCCCGAGCCGCGCCTCAGTGCAGCCAAACTCCAGAAAACCAAACTCACTGCCATCGAGTCAGTTCTGACTCATAGTGACCCTACAGCCAGTGCTGTAGAAACAGAAAGGCGGATGGCGAAGAGCCTTCTAGCGAGAGCGGATAGAAACGACGCCAGGCGGGGCTTCTAGGGTGGGGTTGTGGTAATGGGACCCAGGGTTCGTCAACTCCCAGAGGGACAGGCGTGGCCGAGCTGGATCGTCTCTGGGGCCTTGCTGCCCTCTGCAGGGTGTCGGAGGAACTGCCCCTGAGGGGCCCAAGGCCGAGGGATGGAACTTGGTGCAGGTGGTAGTTCTCGGGCGACCCCACCCCGCTGTTGCCGCTCAGCGACCCTCTTCTACTCAAGAATATTAAAACGGGTGAATCTGGTTAACGTGAATGTTAAAGGCGACCTTGAAAGAAAGAAAAAAAGAATGAGATATAGCAGCCACAGACTTAGAACGGGACGTTCATGGTTGAGCAGTCGACTCCTAAACAGCCAAGCCAACTCCTTTATGGGACCAGTGGGCCCTGGCCACCTTTTAAATAACCGCCCCCCCCCCCAAAAAAAAAGTCTGAGGGTTCTGAGCTTTCACACTTTCCGAAGTGATGGTCTAGAGTAATTTACCCAATTTTGGTGACTCTTAGAGTGCACACTAGGGGTGGGGGGTGCCTATAAGAGAGATAAAAGGACTTGGTGACTTACTTGCAGCTGTGACCTTTGGCAGCAAGGAATTCTTGCCTAGTGAGCTTAATCATTCCAAGACGTTCTCTGCCCCTAAGAACGTCATGTGGGAAATATAAAAGAAATCCTATCCTCCAAACAAGGTTTTGCCATTACTGCAAATAAAAATCACAATGTATTTATAATACACCTGTTAGTGACTGTACAAATTAAGTTATGTTACAAAGCCATGCTTCAAAAGCTAGGTTATAGTTAGAAGAATAATGGCTTAGGCTGAGAGGAAAATGACTGGAAGAACAGAACAGGGTTAATCAGATGTAACAAGGGATTTTATTCTTTGCATTCTAAGATTTTTCCTCCTGGCACTTGTCTTCCCGTTGTATTTATAAACTGAAATAATGAAAGAAATTATATTTTTTTTTTTTTTTTTTTTTTTACCCACAGGAAAAATTATCAAATTTCCAGTCAAGCAAGCGTAGTTTCTGAACATCTGCTAGGCTAAGGCTACTATTTTAGCTGTTGATATAGAAAAGTTGGTTTCCAGAAGTTTCAGGATATGCAGCAGGGCATGACATCATTGGCGGCAGCCAGGGGGTGAGGGTAGGGGTGGGGGGTGGGGGGTAGGTTATGTGGAAGTTAGTTCAGTGTCTGCCTCTGTGATGTGCCTTTTTATGCATGACTTTCTAATCATTCGAGTTCTTGTTGAAATGGGATTTGGGGCTTTTCTGTTTTCTCCCGGATACAAAGCTTATTCTTTTTTGTTTGTCATTGATCCCTTTGAGAATTTGCCAATACCTATGGACCTCTCACCCACAAAATGAATAGATCTATGTACAAATTTTGTTTATAATTTCAGAGGATCTAGACTAATCTCAACTCTAGATTAAGAACCTCTGTTTGGGGGATTTTTTTTTTTCAAATCCTGAGAGCTTCCAGAGCTTTGTTTTTAGATAATTATCAAATAATTTGTATTTCCTGCCCATGGCACTTACGATTTATGATATTTTATAAGACAAGATTGCTCTTTCTCTTCTAGAAGTTCTGGGAATGGATAGCATTGACGTATTAGGAACATGATAAAGATGCAACAAGAATGGTTTAGGTTTCCACGTTAATTTATATTACTAGAAAGCAGAAATACTAATACCATTATGCTGAGGCTTAGACAATATAGAAGAGATGTTTTTCTGCCCTCTAGGAACTTAATATGGGGGGAAAATCCCTCAAAGTTCCAAATAGATTTTTAGTCATTAGGAGGTAAGTTTGGTGTTCAAGGAGACCTGGTGGTGCAACAGTGAAGTGTTCGACTGCTAACTGAAAGGTTTGCGAATTGAACCCATCTAAGGGCTCCTTGAGAGAACGACCTGGTGATCTGCTCCCGTAAAGATTACAGCCTAGAAAACCCTATGGGGCAGTTCTACTGTGTCACACAGGGTTGCTGTGAGTCAGAATTGACTCAATGGCATAGAACATCAACAACAAAGGTTGGTGTTCAACTGGTTATAATGGGGAGAATGTAAATCCATGCCTTCTGTTTGATCAGGGAGGACTTTAGTTGATATAGAGCTGTCTGAGCAGTGCCCTCACTGGAACTTTGCTAAGTTGGGACTCTCTTGCAGATGGAAGAATTGGAACAAGGCTTGTTGATGCAACCATGGGCATGGCTACAGCTTGCTGAGAACTCCCTCTTGGCCAAGGCTTATATCACCAAACACGGCTATGCCTTGCTGGTTTCTGATCTTCAGCAAATGTGGCACGAACAGGTGGACACTAGTGTGGTAAGCCAGCGAGCCAAGGTAAGTGTGAAGAGAAGTATGGGGGGAGAGGAAGGGGGGGAGTCTTGGTGGATATAATATTTTTCCTAGTGAAGGTCAGGGGACATTCAAATCAACCAGCTTGTTGGCCTGTAGGTTGCCAAAGAAGGTTGAATCAGGTTGAGACAATTCCTCTTAATGTACAGGACTTCTTCCTATAGCCCTGGAATCTTTCCTTATGGTTGTATATGTGTATGTATAGTTTCTGCACTATATGCGGTATAGAAACTATTATTTGATCTATATAGGTAGTCTGTAAATTGATTTGCCCTGGTGGCACAGTGGTTAAGAGCTCGGCTGCTAATCAAAAGGTCAGCAGTTCGAATCCACCAACTACTCCTTGGAAACCCTGTGGAGCAGTTCTACTCTGTCCTATAGGGTTGCTATGAGTTGGAATCGACTCGATGGCAACAGGTTTGGTTTTTTTTTTGGTTTTGATAAATTGATTTGCCCTAGGCAGAAATGTTAAGTAGACTAGCTGATTTTTGTGACTCTCTCCTTTTTGTTTTCTTCTGTCCTGTTCTGATGTTTTTATCTTCCCATGCCCGTTGTCTTCATGTTAACCAGGACGTTTCTTTGCTATTACTTAAGAGGGAGTCAGTTTGCTTTTAGCACTCTCAGTCTTTGCAATTCCGGCTGTTTCTTTAGGAGCTGAACAAGCGCCTAACTGCGCCTCCTGAAGCTTTTCTCTGTCATTTGGATGATCTGCTTCGCCCGTTGTTGAAGGACACTGCTCGCCCTAGTGAAGCTACCTTCTCCTGTGATCGTGTAGCAGAGGCATTGATACTACGAGTACGAAGTGAGCTCTCTGGTCTCCCCTTCTATTGGAATTTTCACTGCATCCTAGCTAGTCCTTCCCTGGTAAGTACAATTTGAATGTGTAATAAAGGGAATGCCAGCTGCTTTGAGATGAATGAAGCTCTAAGAGCTCTTATATTTTCACAAACACCATGTGAAATTCTTCCGCATTAGAAGACTTTCCTCTGCGAAACAGAAGGCAAAAAGGATTCTTGACTGCTATATCTTTTCCTTGCAAAGGGAGTGTCTTTATTCATAATTTATTAATTCAGCTTTTATTAAGCGTCTACTGTTCGCTAATTAAAAGAGCCCTGGTGACACAATGGTTAAGTGCTCAGCTGCTAACCAAAAGGTCTGTAGTTGCAAAACTGTTCTTTGATTTTTTTGATCTGAAACCCAGTAAAGCTAGACTTGAGTGCTAGGAGAACTACTTCTCATTTAGCTTTGGATTTCCAAGGCTCAGCAACAATACTTAGCATATAGTAGTCACTCACACTTGTTGAACTGAATTTCTTTTTCTGAAAATTTCCTTCCTGCTTTAGATATACTGTATAGAATTTACAGGCAGTCCCCAAGTTAGTAACTTACGGACAGTTTGTACTTAAGAACGGACTACCATAGAGTCTATTACAGTAAACATTTTATTTAAATACATACAATGGTTCATAATAACCTGTCTACTTGCTAGTTTGTGATGCTCATGAAAACGTTGTGCCGTTTGGAAGTGTTTCTTAAATGTTTTATATGCATTGTTGTTGTTTTGTTGTGTGCCGTTGAGTCAATTCCAACTCATAGCGACCCTATAGGACAGAGTAGAACTGCTCCATAGGTTTTCCAAGAAGTGGCTGGTGGATTCCAACTGCCGACCTTTTTGGTTAGCAGTCTGAGCTCTTAACCACTATGCCACTAGAGCTTCTTTATATGCATAGAAAGGTAAACATATGCTATATAGTGAGACAAACATTTGACTAACTGATGCTAAATAAGAACTGTATGTACCTGTTCTGACTTACCTACAAATTCGACTTAAAGACAGACTTGGAAATGGATCTCGTTTGTAACCCAGGAACTAACTGCCTGTACCTATTTAAAAGCAAGGCCCTTGTAGCTTTTTCTAAGTGACACCAGGGGGCACTGTTCTCTCAATAATGCTTGTCCTGGGATCAAACGTTTGGGCAGTTTTTGGGGAGTCCACACAATAGGTAAAGCAGTCTCATTTTGCAGTACATGACCCTAGCAGAACAGTTAATGAGATTGGGAAGGCAGTTCTCTTTGGAGGCTGATGAGCTGGTATAATAATATCATAATTGAAAATATATATTTTAAGCAAATTCCTCTCATTGGGGTGCTGTAATAAGGAAAGAGATGGCAGTGTTTGGAGTAGGTGAGTCCTGGTTAGCCGTGAGAAGAAATTATCTTTTGAAAAAATGCTTAAAATTATGCTTTAAGTTAAAATAAAATATTTATTATTAAAAGAAGAATGCCAATCCAGGGAAACCTCTGAACCTGAGGAAACTTTATAGAGAAAAAGAACCAGTGGACACTGGCAGGGATGTAGGCGGATACTATTTCAGGCTGGTGTGTGTGTCTGTGAGGTCAAACAGACATAATTTTGTTTGTTACTCATTTTTGTGATGGTTTTTATTAATTTTTTTGAATGAGTAACTCTTGTAAAAGTCAAAAATTTCAAACAACCTTTAAGGGTATACAGTGAAAAAAATAGATCTCCCTTCTATCCCCTTCTCCAGTTCATTATTTTCCTTCTCCAGAGCAACTGCTGATATCAGAGTCTTGTGAATTCTTAAAGAAAGCCACACACACACACCCACATCTACGTATATACACATGTTGTTATGTGCCATCAAGTTGGTTTGGAATCATAGCGACCCTATAGGACAGAGTAGAACTGCCCCATGTATATATATATACACACACACATACATATACACACATACATATACATACACATATATACACACACAATCAGATGTATTTCTGTGTATATGTATATATTTTCACACATGTTAGCATGCTGTGCAGCCTGTTCAGTACCTTACTTTTTCCACTTAATTATAGAACTTGGAGATCATTCCATATTAATACGTTTAGAAACCTGCCTTGATCTTCTTCAGTAGCTGCACAGTGTTTGAGCTGGTTGTACCAGAATGTATTTGACTGATCTCCTGTTAGTAGACATTTAAGTTGTTTTCAGTCTGTTGCTTTGATATACAGTGAATGTCCTTGTGTTTACTCTTTTTGAGTGTAAGTGTGTGAGTAAGTTCCTAGAAGTGGAATAGCCAGGTCAGAGTATATGCATCTGTAATCTTGCTAACATAATGCCACATTTCCTCCAGAGAGATTATGCAGCTCAACTCTTACCAGCAATACACCCTCTACAACGTAGTGTATTCACATTGATAATGTAATGGTTCTGAAGTCTCTGCAGAATATTATGGAATATATAAGACTTTGGGACTCAGTTTTCTAACACTGAGCTCATCTCTACTCTGGCCAACTTTACTTTATCTCCTCCTCCTTCCCATAATCTCTTTTTTCTAGTATCTCATGTAATTCTTAATATTTCATATTTTGACTTTCAAATGTTTTACCTCTTTGACCATTTTATGATCCTAGGAGTCACATCCAAAGGTCTCTTTGTGGTAGAATGAGCACAGGCTTTGGAACTATCAGACCTGAATTTGTAACTCAGCTCCACTACTTTCAGACTACTTGTATTGCCTTGGATAAGTTACTGAAATGTTCTAGGACTCAGTTTTTTCATCTGTAAAATTGTGATACTAGTTACACCATTACTGTGGAGTTGTGAGGATTAAATAAGAGAACATACATAATATTAATTAAACTTAACATTATAGTGGACCTGTGAGAGAAAATATTCCAATTCTCTTTTTAAAAAGACAAAGACCCTGAAATTACTCTGGGTTTAAGCCATTCTCACATCTAGGTGATTTTGGAGCCAGGAATAGAATCCAGGTCTCCTCATTCTCAGTCTGTTACCCTTTCATTGGATCACCTGATAATGATTGATCCTGGGATTAATAACTGCCATTCTGTTCTCCTGCCTATGATTTGTGAACATTTCTGTGAGAAATCTGAAGACTTTAGAGGAGATTATAAATAAATAGCTTTTCCTCTGGAAAAGATTGGAATTGCCTGCTTCTAGACTCGCTGCACTTCTTGACCTTCTTCACTGTTGTGACGGGGGCCTTACACATATTAGGCACCCAGTAGGCGTTTGTTGGATTGACTCGTTATCTCTTCATATATTGCTCTGTGAATGGAGGAGGTGTCCGTGACCTCCTAGCACTTCAAGATTTTTCCTTGTGCTGTCTGTGGATTTGCTTTGATTCATTTATACATTTTAACCAGTCTTTCTTATAATCATTAATGCATATTTTCAAGGTTTCCGTCTAGAGTTAAACTATGTCCAAGAACAGAGCAAAGCTACGTGGAAAGATTTGGAGTGAAATGCATTACCTTAGCCACAATGTCTTATTCTAACCAGTTGATCTAAGGGAAATCATTCTAGTGTTTGAAATGAGTTACACCCCAAGGATTCAAAGTGGTGTAACCCAATCCTATGAAGTTATTTGAGCAGTTGGAATATTTACTGATAAAAAGACAGTGGGGTCTGTTAGATAATTTTAGGTGCCTGGTATGGTATTATTATACGTAGTTAGATGTTGCATTTTTAAAAAACTGTTCCTTCTCATGGTTCTTGTTGTTTTATTTACCACCACTGAAAATGCTTTAAGGTAGCTCCCCAGAGAGAGGCTGGGTATTAACTTCAGAAGTTTCTGTCATTTGAGTGCTGGCACCAAATTGATGGTGATGCTGCGTGGTTAGCAGTAGCCATTATTTTCAATTCAACTTGCCTAACATTGACTGGTTTTCATATGTTAAGTATTCACATCTTTTTCCTCCTGATCTAACTTGAACACTCAACAAAACAATTTCAAGGAAAGAAGGTTGAGTCTAGAGCAGACCAATTTCCCCAAACACAGGATGTCTGTCACATCCTGAACAGTACTTCTTAGAGGCTTAAGTTTATGTAAGCACCTGAGCTGGGAGACAGTGCCAGGTTGGGATGTACTATATGATGGAATGAGGTGTAAACCAAAAAGTGACTAATATCCACAGCTGGACTTGATTTCTGGCCTCCCACTCTGTGCCAGTAACCCTGCGCTTCTTAGGTCCTGGTGCTGGTACAAAAGCTGCTGCCACTCAGACACCCCCTTCCCATCCACATACACACCCAGTCTCTTCTCTCCCAATCTAACCTCAGAGAAATGTAGAAAAAAGTCTTTTCCTCTTAGTTTGAACCACAATACAGTTGGAGTTTTTAGTAGTAACTTTTACTGGAAAATTAACGCATCATGAAAACAAACGTCTGAAGAGTTCAGACTTCTGACCCTGGTCTAGGTGAATGTCTGGCTGGCATATACTATGGAACACTGCAGTACCTTTTCCTTACTTGAAGCCTGCATGAGGTATCTCGTCTAAAAACACCCCTTTTTAGATCTAGGGCAGGGGTTGGCATACTATGGCCAGCAGACCAAATTTGACCTGTCGCCTACTTTTGTAAAGTTTTATTGGAACACAGTCACCCTCATTCATTTACATATTGTCTATGGCTGTGTTCATGCCACAGTGGCAGAACTGAGTAGTTGCAACAGAGACTGTATGGCCCACAAAGCCAAAAATATTGACTAACAGGCTCTTTACAGAAAAAGTTTGCCAACCTCTGATCTAGGGCATTTCTTTTTCTAAGCGCCTGCTTTAGTCCATCTCCTTTCCAGGGAAGGGAAAGGAACTCTGATAACATCTCCTAGCCACAAATAGGTTATTGATTTTAGTTATTTTTGTTGACAGGCTAATGGACACCTTGTGTGGGAGAACTAATGATTATTCTATATAGCTATACGTTATCATATGAGAGTATCACCCTAGCTGTACTACAATATGGCTATGTTTGCATCCTTCTTACCTCTTGTTAAGAGCAAGGTGTGTGTGTGAGGGAGGTCTCTTCCTAGAGACTGGTCTCTTGGTGACTGGCTTGTTTCTATTATAAAAATGACCTTAGACTTTGCTGAATTTATGGAACAAATTAAAACTCTGGGCTCATTCTGGGCTATCATCAGCCTTGAAATGGCTCTTAACAGTGTCTGGAGCTAATTCAACCTTCAAAGCTCTCTACTTTCTGTTGATTTTTGCCTTCTGTTGTACTCCAGTTACATACTCTGCTGTAGCCACACTGACTTTCTGGGTTACTTGGATCTTCTGCTTTTGTCTCTCAGCCTCTACTGTGAGTTGAGCCAACCCTTTCCTTCTATCATTTGTTTCATGGTCTTCTCTTTAAATCACAACTCTAGGTCATCTGTTCATGGACGTTCTCCTTTATTCTTCCATTCTTTTATCTGCTTCACAAAGAAAATCCTTGAACCTCTTTAATATACTTATTAAATTAATGTATTTGTATTTACATTTATATAAATGAGTTGCTTGCCTATGAAGGAATCCCTGGGTGGTACAAATAATTGTTACACTAGTTGTTAATTGGAAGATTAGAGGTTTGAGTCACTCGGTAGTGCCTTGGAAGAAAGGTTTAGTGATATACTTCTGAAAAAATTGGCCACCAAAAACCCTATGGAACACATTTCTATTCTGACACACATGGAATCACCATGAGTTGGGGTTGATTCAGTGGCAACTTTTTTTTTGATGCCTATGAAACTAAGTTTCTGTGAAGATGTTCATTCTTTAGTGTCTTTTTCTAATACCTAATACGGTATTAGGGAGTACTTTGTGTCTGTTGGCTAATTGATATCTCTCCCCTCAAAGGTCTCTCAACACTTGATTCGTCCTTTGATGGGCATGAGTCTGGCATTGCAGTGCCAAGTGAGGGAACTAGCAACATTGCTTTATATGAAAGACGCGGAGATCCAGGACTACCACGAGAGTGGGGCTACGCTGAGCCGAGGTGAGAGGACATCCTTCAAAGAGTAAGGACTTTTTTGAGGGCCTTAGAAAAGAGAGAGATTTCATTAGCATTAAAGAGGTGCTTCCCCAAGGGTGGATGCTGGATACTGACCAGGAGTTGGATTCTTGATATCAGGCAATACTTCTCTCTGCCTCGAGTACCTGGCTAGGGCCCAAGTGGTCAATAGAAGCTATAACCGAGTCCAGACATGCCCTAAACAATGGCAAGGAAAGACTTTGGAAAGGGGCCGGTAGCTATACAAAATTGTACTAGGTTAAAATGAAGTTGGAAGTTTAGGAATTTGACCTTTGTCTTTGTGGCAGGAAAAATTCCTAGAGTAGATGCTGCCACCAAACCTGTCATTTGTTAGTCACTCTCTTCTCCTCCCTGTTTGCCCACATACTCTCAAACCCTTCTTTGCCCACTGGCCTAAATGTCTTTGGATATTGCATCTTTCTTCTCTTTCCAAGAAGTCCTGAGCTCTGTTCTCTTTTCATTTCACAGGGTGGAAGCTCATCCTGTTGTGTTGTTGTTAGGTGCTATCGAGTTGGTTCTGACTCATAGTGGCCCTGTGTACAACAGAACGAAGCCGTGTCCTGTGCCGTCCATGCAATTGTTTTTATGTTTGAGCCCATTATTGCAGCCACTGTGTCAGTTTATCTCGTTGAGGGTCTTCCTCTTTTTTGCTGATCCGCTACTTTACTAAGCATGATGTCCTTCTTCAGGAACTGGCACCTCCTGATAGCATGTCCAAAGCATGTGAGATGAAGTCTTGCCATCCTTGCTTCTAAGGAGCATTCTGGCTGTACTTCTAAGACAGATTTGTTTGTTCTTTTGGTGATGCATGGTATATTCAATCTTCTTCGCCAACACCATAATTCAAAGGCATCACTAGAACTCATATTTCTTTCCTCTGTTCCTTCTCATTATAGATCGATTAAAGACAGAACCATTTGAAGAAAATTCCTTCTTGGAGCAATTTATGGTAGAGGTAGGATATTTTTTCCTTTCTTCTGGAGCAACTTTGCTTTACTTCCTCTTTCCAGGTGCCTGAGTAATGATTTGCATGTTGGATGTTAAATGGCTTGTATGGTTGAAAAACCCTCTCTCTGAAAAAGTTGCCTACAGAAAGTCTGATAAAGCTTGAGATGTACATGGGTAAGATGGGGGAAGTAGTGGGAAAGAATGTAGTATGTGTAAAACATCTCTGTTAAAGTACCTAGGGATTTCATTTGGAATTCTGTAAGCTTGGTTGACCAATTGCTAAATTTTTGCTTGTTGAGGCCTGATCACAATGTCTGGATTGTGGGAGTAGAGGAGTAGTCATTATTTCTTGTCGAGGCCCCTTCGGCATCCAGCTGTAGAGGAAGGTTAAAAGCTCAGTGCTACCATTTGGGAACTGTCTTGTGGGCACAGTAGGCTGTGGAAAATTACGGTGTTTATACAAGGGGACTGGCAAAGGAATGAATGAGGAGTAGATAATTGTGGCCTGTCAGGAGCTCCTGCCTGGGTTTCCCTTCTAAGGATTGAGCTTGGCCAAAAGAAACATCTATTAAATGCCAAATTGGGGGAGTTTTAATAATAGTGACCTTTGATAATGCCAGTCAATATTGATCTTCTCGTTCCCTAACTCTTCTGGGACTTGTTGGTTGTACAGTTAGCATCTTAGTATTATTGCCCCATTTTCTAATTATACTTGTTGCCCAAGTTGGTACTTTATTGTGTAAGTAAATAATGCTATTATAGTATTGTGTTGTTTATAGATTATTCATATTTCTGTCTTGTCTTCTAAGCTAATTTGTAAGTTCCTTGTGGACAGGGACTGTGCATCATACTTCTTTTAAACCCGAAATTAGCACTTTTCACAGTGTAAGGCATAAAGCAGGTATTCCTGATTTGGAACCTTCTGTTCTGCCTCAGTACATGGACTGAGCAATGACTCCATAGTGATTGGGGTCTTGACACAGTAAAAACTGTGAGTTAGTGCTGAGTCCATGCACTGAAGCAATTATAACTCTGGAGACGAAGGAAAGTGTGCCTTGCTAAGTCAGAATAGTTTTCAAGTCTTTATGGGGAAGGAGGGGCCATTAAACCTAAACTTGTGACAGAGATCAGAGATTTCCTAGACTATTTTCTGTCAGGTAGTTTTGGGGGGGAGTCTATAAGTTGGGTTTTAGGGGAGATTCACATAGGTTGGGGATGACATATTAGTTCCCTGCCTCAGCTCCTTAGTTAAATAATGCATGGCTTCCTCTTAGCCCAGCAGAGAATGCCGTTCTTGATCTAACACCTGCACACCTAACCAGCTTGATGTTTTAACATTTTTGTCTATAAACTTTATGGTTCAGCCATATGGAATTACTTTGAATTGCCCAAAACACTGTTTTTTATAGCCTTTATGCATTGTTTCTCTTTATCTAGAATGTCCAATGTTCTGGCCTTATCTACCTTGTAAACTTCTATTAATCTTTTAAGTGTTAGCTTCAGCTTCTTTGGGAAACCTTTCTAGATTCTTCTTGTTAAGATAATCTTTCTTCCTGCTACTTTAGTACCTTGGTTCATCCCTTTATTTTACCACTTAGAACTTCACTCTTTGTATGTCTGTAAGACTGTGTCTTTCTTCTTTGCTAGCGTACAGGCTCTTTGAGGGCAAGGACAGCGTTGAATGCTTGTGGATGAATATGTTGATAAACTGATGATAGGGGGATTTTATGAAAATTCTTTTAGACCTATATTTGAGGTCTTCAATTATTCCCCTGGTTCATTTTGCAGTTTTGAATAAATCCCTTCTCTCAGAGCCTCTATTTTCTCATTTATAAAATTGGAGGCTCATCTATTTCATACTGTTGGGTGGAGCCCTGCAGAACTGAATGAGAAAGCATATAGAATCCAAGTGGGGGCTCAGGAAGGGTATTAGTGTGTTGAAACCAACTACTTCAAGAGTACTCATCCTTTGGTTTCTTGGTTTGGAGGTTTAGGGTCATGGTTTCATGGGACATCCCAGTTAATTAGCCTAATAACATGTTTTGTGCTTCTGTTTTACCTCCTATTTCAATATGTAGTGCCCAGGGTCTTAAAAGCTTACAGGCGGCCATCCAAGGCACAATAGTCGGTCTCTATTTGTCTGGAAAAACAGAGGAAGAAAGAGAGTCAGGAATAGAAGGAGGATATGAAATGCATGGCTAACTGCCTCCATGAACTGGCTCCTTTGCCATGAGACCAGAAGAACTGGATGGTGCTTGGCTACCATTACTGAACATTTTAATCAAAGATTTTATAAAAGAATGCTGATCAAAAGGGGGAAAATGAAGAACAGAATTTCAAATTCTCATGGACTCCAGACTTCCTGGAGCCATGAAGGTTGGATGAATACCTGAAACTATTACTGTAAGGTAACCTTTAAACCTTAAACCAAAAATATCCCCTGAAGTCTTCTTGAAACCAAACGGTAGTTTAGCTTAACTACTAAAAAATGCCTAATGCCTGCTTTGAGCATTATGCTCTTTTAAGAACTATCTATACGGGATCAAATTGACAACAGCAACTTCAAAGATTAGATAAGAACCGTAGGTGGCAGTGAATTTATGTTAATGGGGGAGGAACAACTCAGAAAAGGAGGATGAGAATGATTGCACAACTGGAAGAGTGTAATCAGTGTTACTAACTGGTACATGTATGGACTGTTGAATTGGTGTATGTTTTGCGGTATATACTCTCAGCAACAACAACAAAATAAATAAAATTTAGAAAAAAACAAAAGTATTCATCCTCTAAGTCTGAGTGGATCACAGCCAAAACCTTATAGGCATATAGGATTTTATTATAACTGGAAACGATCTGAGAGATAGGTAGTTGTAACTTTCCATTTTATAGATTAGGAAACTGAGCCTCAGAGAGATAAGCCTGAGGTCATATAGCTGTAGCTGTATGTTTAGGACCTCCCACATTTCTTGACTCATAGTCTTGGGTTATCCCTATTTTGTTTTGCTACTTTAACTAGTTGTTTGTACACACCAATTATAGAAGATATTAGGGCTAGGATAATGTGGAATTTCTGTGACCTCCTGGGATCACTGTGCTGTCCTCAGAATGTCCTGCATAGCTACTGGAATCAAAAGGTTTTCTACTGGGGCCATGAATTTCTTATGGGCATTGCATCTTTTCAGTTACTCTGCTTGTCTGGGATCCTACAAACAGGACACAGAAGGGTCATGGGGTCACCCAAGACTGAGCTGAAAGGATGTGCCATCAAAATAAGCAACATGGAATAGGAAGATAAACAAACCAGGGACAGAGAGCTCAGGACGAAGGTGTAGGGGGGCCAGGGCTGATGTCAGAAGGCCATGGGGTCAGTGCCTGGGGTCTGCTTTTCCTAGTCTCATTGGGAACATTGCTACAGGGGGCAGTAGAACGGGGAGGTTTCTAGGGTACTAAGGCTAGGAAAAATATTTAAGGATTGAACAGGGATTACTTCCCCATATTTAGTCCTGTTGTTTTTCCTCACCTCCGAAGAGTCTCTGATTTCTCATTTCCAGGGAACTCAAGGGGGCCAGTCAATGGTGGTCTAACTAGAAGGAGAATACTGGCAATGTCGATTCAAATGGGAAGTGAAGGAGCTAGGGCTGGGTGGAGTGGCTACCGGCATGATCCTCATAGGGCAGGATTCCCATAGAGAGCATGTCTAATGATTGCAGGCTGAGAAGAACCTTTAGGAACTGTGTTAAAGAGGAAGTTTAGGATGAGTAGGCTGGCATAGCCCACTCTCACTTTAGTCCACTGGAGGGAGTTCCTTCCTTTGGCCCTGTTCATGCCTCCCTCCCTCCATCTGGTTACCATCAGGCTGTGTGGCTGCTGGCGGGCTCTTTATTTATTTATCCCAGTGTAATGGGGTGAGGAGGGAGCTGGCCTAGGGCTGGCATTCCGAGGCTATGCCACTGAGCCACAGGCGGTTTGCATGGGTGTGTGAGTCACTGGGGCTGCATGCTGCTCAAACCAGACGTGGCCAGGCTCAGGGACAGCAGGCAGCCCAAAATAGAGCCCCGCCCTCTGCAGCTGGCAATCCCTGGCTAAGAATCAGCCCTTGACACCAAAACCTGGGCAGTTGTGTGAAGTTGGCTTCCTTAGTGAGGGGGACCTTAGCAGAGACAGGGACTGCAATTCTCTCCTCTCTGTCGTCAAAGGAGGGTAGTCTGCATAGTAATCGCTCCCATTGCTGCGTTCTGAATGCCTTCTAAGACTTAAACCTTCTGTTCACTGTAATACCTAAACCAAGAAATTTGGGGGCTGTGGTTAAAATTGATTTGACTCAGCATCTGAAATGTAGCCATGGTCTTTGTGTCTTGTCTAGTTTTAGTTACTATCTTCATCCCCTGTCTGGTTGCAGCCTAATTCTAGAGCAGATACTTCAGTCTATGAAGATATTCATTGCTGCTTTCAGGTAGCTAGTGGTAATATCAAAGACACCTGAGGAAGATGGGGAGACCTTTAATTTGAACATTGCTATCACCCTGTTAGGTTCATTTACAGACCACTTCTACTTGGTTTCCTTGGCTGGCTCATCATACCTTATTTGCCCCTTAAATGTTAATGTTATCCAGGATTGTGCCCTTGATCCTCTCGCTCTTCACTCTCCCTTTGTGAGTTATCTCATCCAGACCACAGTTTCAGCTGTCACCAGAACACCAGTGAGTACCAATTCTGTATCTCTGCTGTTTGAGGACTATATTTTTTTCTGCATATTTGACATTTCCATCTGGATGTCCCACATGTACCACACCCTAAATGTCCAAAATGAATCATCTACTCCCCCCCAAAGCTATTGTTATATTCCCTACCTTGGGGAATTGTACCATTAGCCTTCCAGTTACCTAAGCTAGAAGCTTGGGAGTCACCCACGTTCCTCTTTATCCTTACTTTCAAAGCCTAAATTATCCCATATCTTTGGAATCTGCCCTTCTCTACCCCCACTTCTGTTGTCTTGGATTAGCACCC